GGGATCATGACCTGAGCCGAAGGCAGCGGCTTAGCCAACAGAGCCACCCAGGCGTCCCTATTTTTGTCAATTTTTAAGCCTATCATCATTGATATATTTTTGGTACGTGGAATGCAGCATCAGGACCCTGATATTCCACAGTTGTAGAGTTTTAATCAATTCATGCAAACATGTATGTTTGCCTGAGCTACTGTACCTTCAACTCCCCAACTTGAACTTGTTTACTTATCAAGGAATGTCAGTCCACTTCAACAAATCAGAACGTCCAAACCCATGCCTAAAGCAGCTTGTTGTCTTCAGAATCTTTTGATTTCATTAAATTAATCATTAATGTCCAGGTTTTCGTGTCCTGACATGTTTCCTTACCATGTGTCCATCTCTAGGCCAGACCAGATGGGGTCTGTGTTTAGATATGACTCACGGGAGAGGACTGCAATCTACATACCCATTGAAATAAGCTTTCCTTTTTTCAGTACTCACGGCCAAACAGACTGACATCACGTTTCTACTAGTTTAATTTGACAATACCTTTAAATAGCAAGTTGTTGCTTTTATGCAAGTTCTGCAAATTGTTCTGTGCTATTTTTCACTATAAAGAAATGTAAATGTAAAAAAATCCTGAAGGGTTTATACCAATTATTTTCAGGGAAATTGTTTTTTAAACTCATTTGAAATTGCCTTGAAAAACTGTCTACAAACACATTGTTTTAATTAATTTTAATTTTAATTTTATTTTAATTCATTTTAATTTTAAATTCATTCAACAATATTTTTTGAATGTTAGTTCTATGAACAAAAGCATTTATAATTTTGACATTATGCAATAGTTGCTTATGAACTAAATAAGTCAGTCACCTTATTCTCTACAGTTTTTTCTAAAAATAAAAGCGATGTTGAAGCTTAATCTGTATATGACATTCTTTCAGAATGTTTTACTTCCCTTAACTCATTTAATTCTCTCACCAACTCCATGAGATAAATTGTGTTATCATCCTCATGTACAGATGAGAGAATGGAGTCAGCAAGTTTAAGTAGTTTATCCAAAGTAATATATTTCAAATGTGGAAGGCATTACCATTCAAACCTAGATTGAATCCTGCAATCAAACTCTTAAACACAGAAAATAACAAAGAATTGAATATTTTAAAATAATGATTTGGCCTGTTTGATTTCATTCACTCATTCATTAAAATATTTATTCTGCATGGATCATGTGCAGGTGCTGTACTATGGGATGGGGATAAACTGGTAGGTAAGACAGAGCCCTCCTCTCTGCTCTCTCCTTAACCAGTGAAGAATAGTAGACAAAGGTACAGAGTGCTGAGAGAATGTAATGAATTTCCTTCTGACCTGGTCCTAGCAGTTTAAGAAAGGCTTCTTAGAGATGGTGATGTGACACCTGTGGTGTTTATTACTCAGGTGAGAGAGACCAAATGAAGTTGGAGCTGGATGATTAGCCATGAATGGTGCATTAGAGAGAAATGAGGCTGAAGACAGAAGAATGTGTGCACAGGGAAGGATTTTGTTTGACATAGGAAAGATCTAGGGCTTCATTCATAGTACAAAGGCTGAGGGATGGGTTGGGGGGCCAACTTAGGCTGTACTGACTGAATGGGAAGTTATATGTATTCATGCATACACACATTGCATTATACTTCTTGAAAACGAGCCATATTGCTTTATCTTCATCCACATCTCTTTTTTTTTTTTTAAGATTTTATTTATTCACTTGATAGAGATCACAAGTTGGCAGAGAGACAGGCAGGGAGAGAGAAGAGAAAGCAGGTTTCCTGCTGAGCAAAGAGCCCAATGTGGGGCTCGATCCCACGACCCTGGGATCGTGACCTGAGCTGAAGGCAGAGGCTTTAACCCACTGAGCCACCCGGGCACCCCTTCATCCACATCTCTTAATGGTGTCTTCTTTTTTCTTTCCCCCACCCCAGGGAACCATTTTTTTAAATTTAATTTTATTTTTTCAATGGCATCTTGAAGTAGTATCTGCTGTATTAACATGCCTCCACTAAGTCATATGTAGACCAGAAATTTTACAGTATTTTTGAGCCAATATGAATTCAAGTAATCTCCTTTTATCTTCCACTCTAGATCTATCCATCCATCCATCCATCCTTCCACTCATTCATTCATCCAGTTAACAAATAATGGTACCATTATTCCAAAGTTGCACAAACCCCATATTCAGGAGTTTTGATCTTATTATTTCTATTTTTCTCATTCCTTGCTGTCGTGTAGCAGTTAAGAGGTTGGGCTTTTGAGACAATATATCTGGATTCAAATCCTGGCTCTTCCATAAAAAGCTGTAGTACCTTGGAGAAGGTAATGTAACCTCTCTTAGTTTCCTCAAGGTAACACTAGGGATAATAATACCCATCACATGTTATTATGAAGTTTTAAATTAATAATTGATGTTAGGCCTAAGAACAGAGTTTGAACAAGTGTATATACATATTTATAAAAGATATATATGCATAGGTATAAAACCAAAGCATCTACCAAATTAACATACTGTTTCAATTCAGATGTTGTTTGCATAAGAGCCAAACATTCAGCAATCAAAGATGCTTTACCTCTTCAGCAATAACTAGGGATAAATACCAAGGTGAATTAAAAAAAAAAAAAAAAGATGTCAGGAATAAAAAAACCTGTCACATTAAAAGAGATGCCTGGTCATTGCAACTCTAGTGAGTTGTTCACCCCACTCTCAGCGTTCATTCTCTGGTGGAACTAGGGTGCGGGGAGTGATTCTCTGTATTTCTGTTCCCATATGTGCATCACTATATACCTGTTACATTACAAATACAACTAACTCTTTGCTTTTGGGATTTATGTATATGACCTTGCATATTCTATTGGCACTTTAAAATAAATTCCAAAGTTCTATCTTCCTAAAAGAATAAAGACAATAGATAATATGAGTTGACCTGCAGCCCCCTTTCTCTATACCTTTTCCTTCTTATATGAGGATTAAAAGGTACGATATTTGGCTTAACTGGAAATGCTGTGTTTTTCCACTTGCAAACTCTTCAAAACCAAGAACCATGCCTTACTCATTTTTATTTTCCCTACACTGCTTAGTCTAATAACTTAGTTTAGGAAGTTCCATATATTTATTGACAAAAATTATATACTCTTCAGAAATAAAAAATTTAAAATAATTTTAAAAAATTAAAAATTAAGTTTTATTATGAGTGAAACCCATATGGGTTAGTTTTTTTCTTTTTGTTTTCATTTCTATTTTTTCTCACCCAGATCTGCAAATACTTATGGATTATTGATTATTGATAAGGTGCTAGGTTGAAGTAATTGTGTAAAAGTAGGCATGTATAGGTCTGTTAGTATACTACATAATTTTATCTATAATGTCTCAAAAATACTTTTTCAAAAGTAACAAACGCAACATTTTCAGCAGCATGTATTTCCCATGAGTTCATGGGCAAATCTTGCCCAGTGAAGTAGTTCGTCATTGCCACAGTTTTACCTCCCTTCTTGAGTACTTCTCTGTCCCTGGGAAGAATTCTTTACTTTCATGTTCCTCCTTGATTGTCCAAAGTCTCCCACCTGTTCCAAGCCTCAGCCTCCTGAAGTGAATCAGACTTTGGAATAACCCATTTCTTTTTTTTTTTTTAAAGATTTTATTTATTTATTTGACAGATGGAGATCATAAGCAGGCAGAGAGGCAGGCAGAGAGAGAGAGGGGGAAGCAGGCTCCCTGCTGAGCAGAGAGCCCGATGTGGGGCTCGATCCCAGGACCCTGGGGTCATGACCTGAGCCGAAGGCAGGGGTTTTAACCCACTGAGCCACCCAGGCGCCCCCAGAATAACCCATTTCTTTCTGCTTACTTACATTTACTGTTTTAAATTGTTTAAATCATGACTATTTCTTATTGAAAACTGGGACAAAACAAAGGATAGAGGTAGAGTAAGAAAAAAGAAATAACTATAACAATGTTAGACACATCACTGTCACCATTTTAACATGTTGTCATTTATTTTCTATTTGTTTTAATATTGGTAAGTTCATATAGTATAACAAAGTTTTATTTTTCTTTTGTGTCTAATTTTATAGCATTTGTAGCTTATTTTGTTATTTAAAATACTAACTTAAATTTTATCCTCAGCTTTGCTTAACATTTTATCATGGAACATATTCCTTTTGATTTTAACTTACATATGCTAAGGTGATTGTGTAAGTTGTCTTTACTTCCCCTTCCTTGAGAAATAAGTTGCTATTGCCCAATACAAAACACTATAGAATAATCCCTTGTTTCCCTCTAATTTATGCTGTCCAGTAACCTCTTAGATTCAAGTGTGTAGTGAAAAGCTCTGGGATGGTTATCACGTTCCATTTCAGTCTATTTTTCCCTCCAGCATTAAAAATTCTTCTTCTTCCTTTTTTTTTTTTTAAGCTTTATATGTAGTAGTTTTACTATTTGGAAAGGTACGTTCTACATCGTGTTTCTTCTCAATATACCTAGTTTCCAATCCAACTTTTTTCAGATGAAATTTAAAGAACAATTGTTTTTATTGTTGTTTCATATTTATATAAAAAATTTCAGACCATTCTCATGTGTTTTTATTGTGGTGAAAAACACTTACCATAAAATTTACTATGCAAACATTTTAAGTGTACAGTACAATAGTGTTAACTATATGCACATTGTTGTGCCATAGACATTCTGTCTACCACGTTTTTGTTTCTTTCCCCATTGTCAAGTCCTCTAAGTGAAAAAAATGTACCCTGTGATCAGTGTCCTTGCTCAGATTCATCTTGCTCTCCCTGTGGAGCCTCCATGGATTTTGAAAACTGTCTTGGTATCTCACCTGCTTTGGTAAAAACAGAGATGGAGCCACATGCAAAACCAGAAACCTGTAATTGAATTGACCAAGCAGCTATCCATTTTCCTTCTCAATTAAAGAGATACTCTAGATAGGAGGATGATGGCAATCTCACACAATGCTCATGTGGATACTTTTCCCCCACAGACTGTAGGAGTAGAGGACAGTTCAGAGCATTCACACAAGAATCTCGAAAGAAACGGTCTGCTCAATACAGCTATCCTGATGAGAAAGATAAGGACTTAAGTGATCTACTCATTAGGTATGTAGAGAAATATTTAATTTCTTTGGGCTAGTTACCATAGTTTTATTTCAAATGTACAGTTTGAGGGTTTTTATAGAAACCATGGCTGACTCATTTACATGTAGGATAAATTATACAATGATGAGCAAATAAGCTTTGTGATAAATATAGGTTCCTTTTCATCAGGAACATCATGTCCAGGGCATGCTCAGTAATAAATATTTCTCAATAAAGTACAGAAAATTGCACATCATAAATGTTATTTATGATTCCTTAAATCACATTATGGATATTGCTGTTTTTAAAATTCTTTTCGAAAATAGGAAACTCAGCATATTGTTTGTAAGGAAAGTAATAACATTTATCAAGTTAAGTTGATTTTAATTCATGTATAATGTATAGCAAGGAAGGTTTCATTTGTGACCAAAATGGGATATTTTTGAACCCTTAGAAAATTGAGAAATGTCAATCTTATTCCTTTGAAATCTGTTAGGACTTCTCCTGTGACACTTATACACAAGCTTCATATGTAGTTACTTCTTTACAAAGTTCCTCCACACAATTGTCTTGGAAGTTTCTGAACTTCTGAAAAGTTCTGAAAAGAGAAACAATGACTTGAGCATGGGTATATACAGTAGCTTCTTTTCACTGAGTAAATATTCAGTAGATGCTTGTATAACTAAATTACCAAAAACAAAAATAAAAACGTTGTAATTCACAGTCCCATAGGAGGGATACTATTGAAAACACTTTGTTACCACACGCTAAGTAACTTGGCGTTCATAGCAGCCTCCCAAGCATTATCATTCAGTCAAATTCAAAATATATTTTTGGAGTTCCTGCCCTCAGTCACAACTGAGAATTTGTAATGTATGTAGAAGTGAACAAGACATGGTCTTGTAAGATTTATAGTCTAGGAGAGAAAGTGGGTCATATGATAAGCAAGATGGGTGAAGGCTTCAGGCTCTGGCACAGGTTCACACCCTGTTTCCACTACTTCATGGCCACAGGTTATGTAAAATTTCAGTCTCAGTTTCCTCAGCTGCAAAATGGGCATAATCATACCCACCTTGTGCAATTATTATATTAGTAATATATATATGTATATGTAAAGCACCTAATGGTGATGTGGGATGTAGTATTATAGGTGTTCCACAAAAGACAGGATAGCAAATGCTGTTATAGTGCTCACTATATGCCAAACATTCTTTTAAATGCTATGTAAATATTAACTCTCTGTACAGAAGTGTTCATATAATACTGATGTGAAATCCAATTAGGATATTGTGTAGTTCAGAACAAGGTATAGATAATTCTTTTGGGCTTTTAGCCTATGCAGAGGTGAGATGTTGAGAAAAAGACTAAGATTTTGATGAAGATTTAGGGTTTTAGTCTGGAAAAACAGTGAGCAAAATCATGGGGGCAAAGAAAAGTTAGGTATGTTTGGAGAGTGGTAAGGCTTGACATGTCACAACAACCTGGTGTGTTCGATACTTAGGGATGAAGAGCATCCTGGAAGAATATTCTATAAAAGAAGATTGAGGTAGCAAGAGAAAGACCTTAAATTCTAGGCTAAGGAAACTAAATCTGTTCCATGTGTTACTGGAGCTCCTTCCTGCAAGGTAGACTTGGCCAGGAGCCATAGCTCCAGTCAAAACCATTTTTAAGTAATTCAAGTGGCAGAAAATAGTCACACGGCCCTTATTTAATTTAGCATTTCATTTGGTTTGTAATCCACTCTACTATGTGAAATGTTTCACCAGAGTGAAATTGGAAATAGATGTTGGGTGACACATTTATAGGCAATTTCTCTTTTACTTATAAGATGGTAATAGAGATCTGACTCTTCCAGTCAAATCCAAAGGTGTGTGGCATGGACAAAACACCCACTACCTGCCTTCTGCCATGCCCTACAGCCATATCCTGTCCTTCCAAAAACATTCATTTCACTTGTTGTGAGGTAATAATTAACATATAGTATTATTTGAACTCTTTAAGATTGTGGTGACCTTATGAACATTCTGCTTACCTGTAGTGTTAGTCACTCAGCTACAGATTGGTTAATTTCAGTTTTAATCTCCTGCCAATCTCATCAAATTTTACTCAAACATGAGCCTCACAATCGAGAATTCCATTTTTTATTGATATGATAATAAAAAGATAATACCGGCTTTGTTTTGTCTTCTAACTATACATGCTTCAGTAATCCTTTGTAGATAGTTTTGTTGTATTCAAGACTTGTTTAGACCAAAAAAGGCCAAATCCTCTCACTCAGTGTGTGCAGATCACTCAGGCTATGATTTTACTTTCACTGTTCTCTGCACATTCATCTTTCTTGGATTTACTGTCTTTTGGTCAAAAATTGATCCATTTTTCAATACACTATTCATGAGTTAACATCAGTTTAACTTAATAAGTATTATTTTTTTCTTACAAACTCTATGCTGAGTTTCATGTTTTTATTAAGAATTTACAATATAGAAATATCCATACTGTCCATCTTTTTCTTCCATTCTTCTCCCTCCTTCCCTCTGGCTACCCCCAATAATCTCTCTAGCTGGTATCCTTGTCTCTCTTCTCTCTTTCCACACTGTCTAAAACACAAATATGATCAGGCTAAAATGTCTGTGTAGTGGTTAAGAAAGTACTTTTAAATTTTGTTTTTTAAAAATCCTGATTTGCATTCAGCTGTGCAATTTAATAACTATACCATGTGGACATAGTAACAACTAAGTCACAGTATTCTCATCTGAAAGACAAGGCTGCTTCAAGTGTCTCTTGGCACTGCTGGGTGCACTGAGTGAGGTGATGTGACCTCTAGGGCAAAGCAATCAGAATTGCATGGTCCCTGAAGTGAATGAAGAACTACGGTCTGCTTTATTTGGCTTCCCTGACTCATTCCACCCTCCCACCCCCACCCCAGGCAGGAGTCATTACCTTCTTATTTGTCTTCCTCGTACAAATGTTGTATTTCCTGATTGTTCATCAATCAGTCTTTTCTGAGAGAATGTTAGCAGCCTACTTACTGAAAAGCACCCTCACATGTATCTTAGCGTAATGCCTGTTACATAAACAACACCCAACACATACTTGTTCAATTGTGAACACCATCTCATTGTATAATCTGGTGTTGCTGGTATCAGCCACTCCTTATGTTCCTATACTCAGTACTTTAAATCTTGGTTATAACTTTATACAATCATTCAGACTTCCTTGCGTTTAAATCTCCTTTGATTCGACACTGATGATTTATAGAAGAGAGCACCATGAAAACAAAAGTGTTAAATAATCTTTATTAAAATTATCTGTGGTTACTAGTATCATCCATATCAATACTTGTACAGTTGAATTGATTTGAACATAACACCGTAGTAAAAGCTGGTTTGTGGTGATTCATGGTGCCTCTAATTCACAGCATCTCATGGGACATAGAGTTGATCTAGCGACTGAGTAATTGGCATTGGTAACTTCTTTTCTTTTTCAGTGCTACCTTTTCCTAAATTCTCTCTCTGATGTAAGCTCTGTAACATGTCCTTGGCTTAGGAATTATTTTATAAGCTCGTAGGATCTACTATGTCTGGCAAGCCATTTTCTTACTGAACAGTAGAAGACATATATTGAGCAGAACAAAGCAGAACAATTTTGAAGGTTACAATGGTTTCTTCACAAGGAAGAACTTTAAACAAAATTTGGGAAAAAAGGAAAAACTTGGACATGAATAGCATGTCAACTAAATCAAATCTCTATAAAATATTTTTAACAATATATTATAATCAAAGATGGATGGAACTTTCATTTCAATTTCCCAAACTCATTATTTACCTCTGTCTTTTGAGAACTTCAGTTAAGCTCTAGGAATCATATTTTATTTTATTTATTTTTTTTAAATCATTTTTTAATTTATTTTCAGCATAACAGTATTCATTGTTTTTGTACCACACCCAGTGCTCCACACAATCTGTGCCCTCTCTAATACCCACCACCTGGTTCCCCCAACCTCCCACCCCCCCCACCTCTTCAAACCCTTCAGATGGACTCTGAAAAACAATCTGAAGGAATCATATTTTAAATTCAGCCCAAGACTTTTTATTTCCTTTTATTATTGACAATACTGTGCTATTTTGCATCTGGTTTAAGATTAGATTTTTGTCAGAGTAGTATACTTATCTTAATTTAGTTCTTGCCATGAATTTATAATAGAGCAAGGAATGTTCCCACCTGGGTGCTATATAATATATAATATTTAATTTGTCACTGCTCTTTCACTGTGAAGTGAAATGAACAATTTTTAGCAAAAAACATAATTTCAGATCTAAATAATATGTCAAATAGATGTGTAATACTACATGGCATTCCCTTTATTTCCTAAGAAATACTTCCTTATCATTTTGAGTAAACTATGTGGAACAGATGTAGCTCTCTGGATTATCTTCTTATATGTCATTTAATTTTAATTTCTAATTCTAGTCACGCAAAGCAGCAGTCACAATGCCCCGTACACTCCAATGCCTGAGGAATATTTGTTGATTTTTTTTTTTTACCATGTGACTTCTATTTTTCAGCTTTTTTTTTTTTTTGCTTCTATTATAAACAGGCAACAAGATCACTTGTACATTGATGAAGATGGTAGACACGTGACATTTCTGCCAAAAGCAAAGTTTGCCCAAGATTTCAGCAATTTTGCAGTGGAAACTCAAAACACCATCAAAGCTCTCAGAGAACAGGTTTGTTTTTCCCCCTAAGCAAAATGTCCTTATCGTAAAGATTGAAATAACTAGATTAAAAAAAAAAATCTGTCCAATGGCTCTGTAGATATATAGCACAATACCCATTTCCTTATAATAGTTGAATTCAGGGAAGAAGCGCTTGGGTAAAACCCATTTCTTTTCTACCAAATACCAATTTCTTCAATGCATAGGGTACCAGTGATGAAGCTCTCTGCTCAGTGAGTTTCTGAGTTCCTGCTCAGTGCCTTTCTGAATAGTTGTGTTTGGGTGCTCTTTTTATCTCTGTGGATGTAGATAATTTGTAACAGGCCAACACATACTTTTCTTATAATTTTTTGTTTTTGTGTTTGAAATGGAATCCAAACAAGCCTCTGAGGGATTACTGCTTTGTCTAGTTTTCCATTTCTGAAAAAGCTATTGTTAAAAATGAAATTTCCACACTCCTCTGCACTTTTGCTTATTTTCTCAGTTGTTCTGGCTCATGGTTTATTTAATTTTTTCTAAAATTTGGGAATGAGTCAATGAGAGATTTGGCTTATATTAGAAATGGCAATTAGATGGTTTTATTCAGAAATGGAAGTCTGATCTCTTTCAAGGCATAGTGCTGTGCTGGCTCCTTCCTCAACTTTAATGTCACTATGAAGCATATTTTTTGCTTCTTACCATCAGAGGCCTTGAGGCAGAAAGCACTGTAGGGGTGTGAGAAGAACCCAGGGCCTGCTGCCAGGAAGTTCTGCCTTTGCAAGTTGCCTGAGCTGGGCAATTTATTTAACCATCCAGAATAAGTATCCTCTGGACTTTCAGGAATGTTGTAAGGATGGCAGAGGCACTTTGTGAACAGTAACCTCCTTAACATAATACTGTTGCTTTTGAATGTAAACATTATCTTGTATAGAAATGCAAGCTTACCTGTTTGCTACATGTGTCACCCTTAGGGTCTGGCTGCATCCATGGTTTGCATCAGTGTGCTATCCATCAGTACCCTTCTTTATGACCAGAACAACCACTTGTCCAATCAGTTGTCCAATCTGAGTCTGAACATGAATCTCAAAGATGTGAAGCCTTGTTTCTAGAAGGTTATTCTTTTTTTTTTTTTTTTTTTTTTTTTTTTTTTTAGAAGGTTATTCTTGAAGGTTAAGGTTATTCCCTCTTGGAATGGTTGGGATGATCTAGGACTTTGGGACCTCACTGAATATAGGGACCTCTATTTTATTTGCTTGAGCTCATGTGTCATAGAAGAGGTAAGTTATACTGGTAAGAGAAAGCCCTGGGCTGCAGAAGGTGGGCCTTGTTACCTTAAATATTAATCCCTTTATCTATATAGCAAATTATTTTTCTTGACTTATTTTATGGATTTACAGACACAGGTAGAATTCATAAGTAACATTTTAGTCCAATTTTATCTATATGTTGGTGGTGATATTTCATCTTTGATATATGCTGTAATAGTGATTAGAAGCATTCCAGATACCCCAAGACTGTAGTAGTTGGTCCTCCAAGTGTCCAATAACAGTGTGAAGTAATATATATCTCTAAATGTATCAAGAAAAAGTGTTTTTCCTTGTTAATTTGTTCTATCTCTTCCATTTTACTATAAATATCTTAATAGCTGGGGCTGTTTCACTGCTGGATCCTGAGTGCCTGACACACAGTACTTGTTTAAAGACAACCAGTGGTTGGTTGGTTTGTTTGTTTTGTTTGTTTGTTTGTTAAGATTTTATTTTATTTATTTGCCAGAGAGAGAAAGAGAGAGAGAGGAGAAGCAGAGAGAGCTGCAGGCAGAGAGAGAAGCAGGCTCACCAGTGAACAAGGAGTCCAGTGTGGGACTGGATCCCAGGACCCTAGGATCATGACCTGAACCAAAGGCAGATGCTTAACTGACTGGTTAAGTCATCTGGTTTCCTTTTTGAACTCAAAAAGTTCTGAATCTATCAGGAATATAAAGTGTATATTAGGACCAGACAAAGATGGAAGAGGCAGTTACAAGGTCTTGAGCACTCCTACAGAAGTCAGGTTTCCCTGGGACACATGGGATACACTGATGGGAAGAGGTACAGTAGGGCACAGAACTGTGTGCACACTTAATGAAACCCGACAAAGTCCTGACAGATAAAAATTGAAGGAATAAATAAATATGACATAATACCAGCATTGGAAAATATTGACTCAAGTCAGAAACCAACCAGGTCATGTAAAGTAGATTGAAAAAAGAAAAAAAAAAAACAACAACATTGAGAATGGAACACACATAAATTGAGCATCTACCACTACATCTGTGAACAGAAAAAGAAGCCGTCGGAGGTGGACAGGATGATAAACACAGATGTTCTGAGGACAAAGCATATTTTCAGATATAACAAGCCCTTAGGATTTGTGAAATTAACATTTGTTGTTAATTTGTCATTTTCCTGAGTTTTAATGGTCCACGTTAATGTGAAATGTATCCTCTTAGCTAAAGAAGGACATTTCTAAATCTGCAGTGCATTCAGCTTCGTGGCTTTTCTGTTGCTTATCAACATGAATGCAACTCATTCATAAATAAATAAAAAAAAAACTAAAATTAAACCTTACTTTATGAAAAATGAGCATCCAGATAAAGTCATGTGTATTTCTCATGGTAAAATTAAAGACAATGAAGAAGTAGATTAAACAGGATATAGAGGTACTCGTCATGTAGGAGATTATTGTTATTCTTGAGACCATCCTTTGTCTATGACACAAGATTCCAACCTTCAGTTATTAGCCATGGGTTTCTTTACTTTCTAACCCTAGGTGCATTATGTCTACAGGGCTGTGAAATAGTGCCAGTCTTGACATTTTCCACTGTTGCTTATTTACATTTACTAGGTGACTTTGGAATGTCTAGAAAAGATATTCGTTAATGTTGGTCCTGCACCAGCTTGCAATCCCACCAACAGTGTAGGAGGGTTTCCCTTTCTCTACATCCTCACCAGCATCTGTCATTTCCTGACCTGTTAATTTTAACCATTCTGACTGGTGTGAGGTGGTATCTCATTGTGGTTTTGATTTGTATTTCCCTGATGCCGAGTGATATGGAGCACTTTTTCATGTGTCTGTTGGCCATCTGGATGTCTTCTTTGCAGAAATGTCTGTTCATGTCTTCTGCCCATTTCTTGATTGGATTATTTGTTCTTTGAGTGTTGAGTTTGATAAGCTCTTTATAGATTTTGGATACCAGCCCTTTATCTGATATGTCGTTTGCAAATATCTTCTCCAATTCTGTCAGATGTCTTTTGGTTTTGTTAACTGTTTCCTTTGCTGTGCAGAAGCTTTTGATCTTGATGAAATCCCAATAGTTCATTTTTGCCCTTGCTTCCCTTGCCTTTGGCGATGTTCCCAGGAAGAAGTAGCTGTGGCTGAGGTCGAAGAGGTTGCTGCCTGTGTTCTCCTCAAGGATGTTGATGGATTCCTTTCACACATTGAGGTCCTTCATCCATTTGGAGTCTATTTTCATGTGTGGTGTAAGGAAATGGTCCAATTTCATTTTTCTGCATCTGGCTATCCAATTTTTCCAACACCATTTATTGAAGAGGCTGTCTTTTTTCCATTGGACATTCTTTCCTGCTTTGTCGAAGATTAGTTGACCATAGAGTTGAGGGTCTATTTCTGGGCTCTCTGTTCTGTTCCATTGATCTATGTGTCTGTTTTTGTGCCAGTACCATACTGTCTTGATGATGACAGCTTTGTAATAGAGCTTGAAGTCCAGAATTGTGATGCCACCAACTTTGGCTTTCTTTTTCAATATTGCTTTGGCTATTCGAGGTCTTTTCTGGTTCCATATATATTTTAGGATTGTTTGTTCCATTTCTTTGGAAAAAATGGATGGTATTTTGATAGGAATTGCATTAAATGCATTAAATGTAGATTGCTTTAGGTAGCATAGACATTTTCACAATATTTATTCTTCCAATCCAGGAGCATGGAACATTTTTCCATTTTCTTGTGTCTTCCTCAATTTCTTTCATGAGTACTTTATAGTTTTCTGAGTATAGATTCTTTGCCTAGGTTTATTCCTAGGTATCTTATGGTTTTGGGTGCAACTGTAAATGGGATTGACTCCTTAATTTCTCTTTCTTCTGTCTTGCTGTTGGTGTAGAGAAATGCAACTGATTTCTGTGCATTGATTTTATATCCTGACACTTTACTGAATTCGTGTACAAGTTCTAGCAGTTTTGGAGTGGAGTCTTTTGGGTTTTCCACATATAGTATCATATCATCTGCAAAAAGTGATAGTTTGACTTCTTCTTTGCCAATTTGGATGCCTTTAATTTCTTTTTGTTGTCTGATTGCTGAGGCTAGGACTTCTAATACTTTGTTGAATAGCAGTGGTGCTAATGGACATCCCTGCCATATTCCTGACCTTAGCAGAAAAGCTTTCAGTTTTTCTCCATTGAGAATGATATTTGCGGTGGGTTTTTCATAGATGGCTTTGATAATATTGAGGTATGTGCCCTCTGTCCCTACACTTTGAAGAGTTTTGATCAGGAAGGGATGCTGTACTTTGTCAAATGCTTTTTCAGCATCTATTGAGAGTATCATATGGTTGTTGTTCTTTCTTTTATTAATATGTTGTATCACATTGATTGATTTGCAGATGTTGAACCAACCTTGCAGCCCTGGAATAAATCCCACTTGGTTGAGGTGAATAATCCTTTTAATGTACTGTTGCATCCTATTAGCTAGTATTTTGGTGAGAAGTTTAGCATCTGTGCTCATCAAGGATATTGGTCCGTAGTTCTCTTTTTTGATGGGATCCTTGTCTGGTTTTAGGGTGATGCTGGCCTCATAAAATGAGTTTGGAAATTTTCCTTCCATTTCTATTTTTTGGAACAGTTTCAGGAAAATAGGTATTAGTTCTTCCTTAAATGTTTGGTAGAATTCCCCTTGGAAACCGTCTAGCCCTGGGATTTTGTTTGTTTGGAGACTTTTGGTGACTGTTTCAATCTCCACATTGTTATAGGTATGTTCAGGTTTTC